CAAAAAAAAAAAAACCACGTGGCATTGGTGTCGCTGTGGCCCATAGCGACACCGTTGTAAACAGCCCCAAAGGTGTAAATAAATTCAGAACAGCCTCATTTACGTAAATAACTTGGTCAACGACCCCACTTTGGTCAAAAACCCTCTCTTTCATTTATCCTTTTATTTTTAATTTTATATAAAATTTCAGTATTTTTAAAAAAAAAAAACCTTTAGTAATTTAAAATAATTTGCACTAGAATATACACCTAAAATATAATTTTTATATTTTAAAGTATTTATGTATTAAAATTATTTTATAAAGTATGATTACATAAAACAAACATTTATATGTAGAATACACAAATTAAAATACTAAGTAAAATATGTAATTAAACCAATTTTAATTACAAAATTTGTATCAAAACATGTGAATAATGAGAAACATGATGCAGCGGGATGTGTATAACATAATTTAATTTGGGTCGTGATAACTGATAAGCACATCCAAAATCATGGATCATGGATCGCGAGTATTTATGATTATCTTATATCTACAATATCTCAATCTTAAAATTGACTATTTCCGTGACAAAAATTATTAAAGATATTGTTATTTTTAAAATGAAACTAGACAAAAAAAAAAAATTATTCAAAACATTTTAAAACAAATTCGTCAAACTGCACCAGCTGCACCTTTTTTTTTTTTTTGGCACTACAAAAGATCCTTGTCCCAAAGTCATATATATATATGGCTTATTAAAGTCTTTTTTATACACCTTAACTTAAAAATTATTGATTTATATAGCCTTATTAATGTTTAATAAAAAAAATTAAACTATTAATGGCTATGGTAAGAAATTGAATGGTATGAAAAAATATGGATGTTCTCCTAGATTTGTAGACACTCGAGAGAGATTATTGACAAAACAAATAAAATTATCTAATTGATCGAAATATAAAAAAAAATCATGATAAAAAAGGTCTATGATAAAAACACAAAAAGAAGACAACAATGATATGATGGAGATTTTTAAATTAAACATCTCTTATTATCAGGAGAGATTGCTAAATCTTGTGAAGAGTCAATAGGAATTGAGGAATAAAAAAAAACAAACAAACAAACAAAGACAAGCTAGAAAATAAATGGTGTACAAAGATTTATAAAAACATATAAATAATAATAAATTATTTAGGATAAGAGAAAAAAAGAGAAAAATATATATAAGATTTGATATATAATATGATAGAAAGATTTATAAAAATATATAAATAAAAATAAATTAGTTATGATATTAGTATATTTGTATGTAAGTGTTATCATTAATATAAATTTCTGACTCCATCCCATGGACTCAATTTGTTTCAATTGGGAGATATATAAGCATAAATAAGAATCTCATGGCAAACCTAGAGTGAGTCGATGGATCGTGAAGAACTTCATGAAAATATTGACATCACAAAGCTCTAAAGCAACCATAATTGAGATTTTGATCATGCAACCAAGGTTAACGAGGAAGGGGTGCAACCTATATATACTAAAATAGTTTTCTTTTGCAAATCTTGGGAGAAAATAATAGAGAGCAACAACAAAATAATGGGAACTACATGTAACGTCTCACGACGTACGTTACATTGATTTATTAATTATAATTGTGAAAATAAATTTTTCGTAATTAATAAAATACAAATAACTGTTTTTAATACTTATATGTAAATATTTTAATATGATAAATAATTCATTATTATTATTATTATTATATTTTATCATATTATATATTAATTTTAAATATTTTTTTAAGTGTAAACTGATGTGATATTTTTCATGTATTGACCTATAATATTATTTTTATAAATTTTAGGGAGATCAATTTTTTTAGAAGTAATTTTAGTACGTTTTAAAAAAAATGGGCCCACCATTACATGTTTGAATACAAATTATAATATTTTTAAAAGTTTTTCTATAAAAATTAAAGAGTATTTTTTGATAGAAAAATTCTCAAAAACATCTCTAAACTTATATTCAAATAGACTTATAGAGTAAATATTTGAATATCACTAATATTGTATTGTTCATAAAATCGGTCCAACACATTATGAGACTTAAAATAAATCTTAAAGTGAAACTTATTTTTTATAATTATTAATAATATTTTTGTTAGAAATAAAAATATTTTTGACATAAACCTTGAAAAAATATAATTATATTTATATTTTTTTAGAAATTAACCTTTTAAGAGTAAATTTTTAAGAATATAAAAAATGAAGTTGAAAAAATTATATAAATATATTAATATAAAATAATTTTTTTAAATAGGTCCAAAACAAGGACCCCATTGACTATATGTTTAGACCGGGTCTGATTACTAAAAGAGTTTGGTCATATTAAGTATGCGAATACTTGCCATGAATTTAGGAAATTAGCGAATATTGGATGCAAATTAGCGTTTACTTTTTCTTTTTTTGGCGAAAATGATTTTTTTTTGTTAGCTATACTGCTTGGAAGAGTTAGAGTTTTGGGAATTAGTTCAAACGCAAAGTTTCATAATCAATTTTTAAAGTTTCTCATCAATGTTATTCTATATTTAATTACAATATAATTTCTCTATCATAATTAATCCGTGATTAGAGTATCTCAATCAATTCTATTACCAGGCCAATTGATACTTCTTTCACTACAGAGTTATACTCTTCACAATAAACTAAGCGTAGAAATCTACAAGCTTTTGTGATCATAGATCTTGGTGTTCCTCTAAAAAACATCATCATAGTTCGCTTCATTTTTGGAGTATAAGTAAATAAAGACTTTTTTTTAATTTTAAAATAAAGTAATTAAGATGATACATGAATGCAAATCATTGCTGTTGCTAAAATTTTCTTGTACTATGCCCATGTTACCAGGCGAATCATCATTTCATAGCACTCCACATATTTATTCAATCCATACATAGTCTATTTCACATGCTTTTGCCTCTAGAAAGTAGAACGAGGTACACATACATCATCATATATACCAACAGAAAACCATACATTACATAATAAAGGCAAGCCATGTAATTACTGAAAGGACATAACACACACTACTAATTCTTCATATTCATATATGTATGTATGGCTTATTAGATGGCAATGCCTTTATACCTCCTCTGAGCCTCCACATGATCGATAACACCGTTACTGCTGCTGCCATAATCCCGTTCGCGACCTCTTCCTCCAACGGGATTGAAACGCGGTCGTACCGATGGAAGCCTTTCGGTTTCATTCACCAGATCCATGGCCCTTTTGTCATTGCCAGGTCCATCATACCTGCGCTGATGAGGGTTGTTCTCGTATGATGGTTTGGGCTCACGGCTAAGCCCATTTAGCTTTGCGCCTTCGATCTTCAACAACTCTATGGCCTCCCCGATATCATTCATGGGCTTAGTTAGTTGGGTCCCTTTTCTTGGTGAAGCAGTCCAACTTGAAGTGATTTTTGGCCCACTCTGCTTGTTGCCATAACCATTGTCATCATAATACTTGTCATCATGTCCAGTTGGACTTACACTTCCATACGGCTTGCCCTTCTCTTTGTTGTGGCCATAGCCCCTATACATGGGACTGCTAGGGGGCTTGTGCCCTTCTTTGTTGCTGTTGTTGTAATAGTCCCCATAGCCTCCAGGACCATAACCCTTAGAACCATTATGACCATCAAAATTTGTCTCCTTAAAAGGACTTCCATAGCCACCGTGATCATCAAAACTTTTTTCCTTCTTTAAAGGACTTCCATAGCCACCATGATCATCAAAACTTTTTTCCTTCTTTAAAGGACTTCCATAGCCACCATGATCATCATAAATTTTGTCCTTAAAAGGACTTCCATAGCCACCATGACCATCATAGTTGGTGCCCTTAACAGGACTTCCATTGCCACCATAAGCATCATTCTTGCCCTTCTTAACAACAGGAATTTCAACGGGGTTGCGCCCTTCTTTGTTGCCATAGTCACCACCATACCCGTTGTAATCATCATGGTCAAGAGCACCCCGAATTGGCTTGCGTCCTTCTTTGTTGCCATAGTCACTACCATATCCGTTGTAACCATCATGGTTAAGGGCACTCCCAATTGGTTTGCGCCCTTCTTTGTTGCCACCATAACCATTAGTACCATCATATTTGTCATGCATGGCACTTACCACCGGCTTGCGTGCACCATAGTCACGATAACCATTAGGATCATCATATTTGTTATTCCTAATGGTACTTTCAACTGGCTTGCGTCCACCATAGTCACCATACCCATTCGTACCATCATGTTTGTTATTCCTAATGGTACTTTCAGTTGGCTTGTGACCACCATAACCATTAGTACCACTATTATAATAACCATCACCATGGTTATCATTCTTAATGGCACCTCCAAATGGCTTGGACACTTCCTTCTTGTCATAGTTAGTACCATTTGGCTTGTTGCTTCTGTAGTCACCATAGCCACTTGATGGACGGCTAGCTTCATTGTGCACCTTGGTGAGGAACTCATCAACTTTAGGTGGGGAACTACGAACAGGATGCTTCGTCCATTCATCATCACTCTCATCTTCGTCGCTAAAATAAGGCCCGCTAGCAACTGGGACTATTTTTTTCTTGGTAACGTAGCCCTCCGAGGTACCATTACCATTATTTAATTTTGGGACGAAAGGAGCAAATGGTTTTGAAACAGGCTCACCTATTTCACTACTCACACTACTAGTATTGTAGGCGGATGATATGCGGTATGTTGCAAAACCATACTGAGCCATGCCTCTTTCACACCCACCTCTCTCTCTCTCTCTCTTTTTGATTTTAACTTAAGATCTCCTATAACTTCTCCTTTTATATAGAATAATAGAAAAGAGTTTGCGTTTGAAATAAGCCCAGCCCCTCCAACTAAGATAGTTGTAGAGAAATGCAGGAGATTCAAACTTATCGTGCATGAGAGAATGGTATATATGCTACCTTTGGCAGAATCTGACACGGATATGGATTTTATTCATGTTCTTACATTGACGATATCAAAGTAAGGAACCGTATTCCATTAATAAGTGGACTGATGCTTGAATTCCACTGGTTTTAGTGACATGCTGCATGCATCGTTTTCTACTCGATGAAAATGAACATGTTCGTCGGTGTTAATTGGAGTCCAACGTATATGGAGAACAAGCAAAGCAACCACAAGAAAAAAAAAAATTCTAACCCATTTAAGCAAAGATAAGAAGAATCCATTAAAAATCTACGGTTCAAAAGAGGATACTCACGAAGAGAATACATTAGACCTTAAATATAAATTTATAGTTTGATGTTTTTAAAGGTTGATCTAATTTGATTTGTTTAATAAAAATGTAAAATTTAAGCTTTTAAAAAAGTTTATTTGTAAACTTATAAAAAAGTCTATTACGTGTAATAGATCAATTTATTTATTTTTATAATATAATAAAAAATATTAATATATATATATATATATATTATTAAAAATATAAATAAATTTATAAAAAAAATATCAATATTTTTTATATATATAATTATAGGTTTATAAAGCGTGCATGTATATTGACATACATGATTAAACATGAATTACCTCTTTAACAGAAAATGATTCACTTTTTCTCTTATATTTCATTTAAAATTTAAATTTTATTAATATTGAATAAACTATGTTTTAAAAATAAATTTATTTATATAATATAATAAAAAACTAATATACATATATTATTAAAAATATAAATAAATAAATAAATTTATAAAGTAGAAACAAATTATTAATATTTAAAATATTTTTTTATACAATTTTTTTTCTTTATAAGTTTATAAGTTTACGATATATGAATGAATTTATATTAACATACATGACTATGCTTGAATTGTGCCTTCAACAAAAAAAAAGATTCACTTTTTTCTCGATATTTCTTTTAAAATTTAAATTTTAATAATATTAAGTAAATTATATTTTAAAAATAAATTTGTTAATTTTTTAAAATTTAAATTTATTCATCTAATTAATATTATTAATATAGATAGGTTAATAGGTTAGACCAAACTTTATAAAAGTCAAATCAAGCAAAAAAAATATTATAATATATAATAAATCAGACTTTAATTTTGTACAACAAATTTAACTTATATATTTAAAATCTGATCTAACGTATCTCATCCTTATAAGCAAAATGCGCGTTCACAGGAGATAGAAATGACTATTCTCAACTAATAATTGAACAAAATTGTGCTAGCTACATTTGATGAACTAGTGAGTAATCTACAAGCTTGAGAGTGTCTGTTCATTAATTTAATCATGATATACTTTATTACTAGATTGGGATTCGTTATTCTCTTATTTGATTTACAATGGAGAAAGGGAAATGAATAATTTCAAAAGGAAACTTCAATAATTCAGGTTCAAACAAATAAATTTGGTCCAAAGAAAAGACTCCATTAAAAAGTCAAATTCTTAATAGTGAAAATATCAGTAAAGTCATCACGATAAATATTTCACACTAAGAAAAACAATTATTTTTCTAACGAGTTTAATTCAACAGGATGTAACCAAGTTTAAGGCATATAATACAACCATGAAATTTACATAATTACCACCAACATGGTGTTGAACAGTTGACAGATAATTATATTCTTTAAATGTGATAAAGAGCAACAAAACTTGCTCGTCTCCAATAATAATAGATGAAAACAATATTACAATAGGAGGTTTAATAAACGTTAACAGATAGCAATAGCTATCCCCAGCTAATAGCAGGACTTTCCATTTTTGTGATGCAAGTTTCCAAATCCACATTTCTGGACTCAGCAAATATACAAAAAGGCACAAAACGGTATGAGTAACCATTAACACACTTGGTAGGGTGCAAATCAAAGCAACCCAGGAAACAAGATTGAGTAGAGTCAGCACAAATGGAAGAGAGAAGCAAGGGGAAGAATAAGCACAAAAGAATGCAAATAGAAAGTGATTGATTCTACTTTGAACAAATGATAAGAATATTACTAGTAATTAACAAAATTTTAAATTAAAAAAGAAACAGAACGCTTTGAGAATGTGAAGATACACACCTTTAGAACATAATTTCTATGGCTAGGTAATTAATGCACAATTCAAATGTACAATGTTTTTGTTGTCATCTCTAAATTTACTACCCACTTCCCGGAAAACATCCCATATGATCCCCAATAATTCTCAAGAGACAATTAGAAAACCTCATCTTGCAAGACAGAATCCATGAGTGCATGTCCAGGGAAAGTAAGCCCGCCAACTAGATATAATTCAAAATTTATAGAACAACTCCCTGATAACGTAAAATCTATCCAAGCAGGTTTGAAGAATGCCACTAAATTTGGTGATCAATGAGTTTAGAATATACAAGCCTCTTGCAATGCCACTGGTCAGAGTAACCACCCCAGAGAATCAATGTCCAGATCACACAATCACAAGAAAACCTGCATGTATTAATAAAAAACAATTAAGACTGAAACATTGCTGAGAAATCAACCAAAGAAGAAATGAGCATGATAAATAGAAGGCAAATTAAGATACACTCAAGCACGAACAAAACTTGCAAAATTATTTTCCTCCAGATTGAGAGAAAGTTTTATGTTTATAAAATTTCAGTTTTATAAACTTTTCTTAGCAGCACAGTTGCAACATATTGACCACAAAGCTTTATCAATTTGGGAGCAATATTGGCACCAATAAAAAAATAAATACAGAAAATATCATCCTACCAAACCACCTCCTTTCCAGTTAGCAATATAAATAGAATACATTAAAAAAACAACGCTGGAACACATGCCATGAAAGCATTAATATAACATTATAACTAAAAAGAACTAAGAAACACCCAAGATGCTATACCGCTTCTGACAGAAGCGCCTTTTTCAGTCACCTCCCTTGAGTTACTCTGTAATTTAGGACAAGGTCATCTGTTTTCTTCCATATATAAGCTCGCACCGTGGCTAAGCTCATTTCAGGAGACAATATCTGAAAATAATTAAAACAGTTCGTTGAATGCTTATACTTAAACAAAGAGTTAACGTATAAACATAATATCATATTAAATCAAAGAAATTTTTTCCAAAAAAAAGATTAAATCAAAGACAATCAGTAAATCTAACTAAACTAATTCCAGTTAACTAGGTTTAACTGGAGTCAAATAATACACAGAAGAATTGTTGCTGGGACACTCAAATAGTTATTAGAATCTTATGGTTCACAATTAAAATCTTACGACTCAATATGATTCAGCTACATAGTGATTCATATCATAAGATAAATATCAAATGACTTTAAATCTTATGATATATAAATGAATTGGTGCAATTTTATGCCATCGGCACGAATTACACGATTCAAAAAATTTATTTTTTCATTTTTTCTAATCTTCTATCACCAATTCTCATGAAAAAAATTGAAAAATTATATAAGCATAAACTGTTAAATGAAAAGGAATTGAAAGATCACTTTTGAATGCTGTTTGTCAGTGTTTTCTGGCCCCATTCTGATCCAGACTGTTGGACATCTTGTTTGCGGTGGCCTTCTACTGTCTGGTTGCTGCCCTAATCCATTTGTTGTGCCTCTCTTGGTTAGGGTACTGTGTCTTGTAGGAGAATATCATTTCTCAGTTTTTTTTGTGTGTAATTTCTGTTTCTTTATCCTGTTAAGTTTTCTGTTGTTGTTAGATTGTTATAACTGACTTGTGGTCGGTCAGTTATAACTAGTCTTGAACCTATTCCTCTATTATAAATAGGACTCATGTATAGAGGATAGGTATCTAATTTTTACCCTTTTACTTTCACATAGCATTAATAAAAAAATGCAATTCTCTCCCTCAGTTTAGTATTCGAACATGTCTTGGTTGATTTTCTCAAATTCATCCATTTTAGGGCTTACTGTGGCTGTTTAGTCTTGTTCTTCTTGAGACTTTTGTGTGGATATCTTGAATTCTCTGGTCTACCATGGTTCCATGATAGATTCAACTGACATGGGATCCAGTGGTTCTAGATCCTTAAGGATTTGTGGTGTCCATTGTCTCTTGGAATCCCACCATATACTAGGAGGAGTTTGTTTCACGGATTACAAGCTCATTCTCGGAAATGTAAGCATGGGAATATAATATTCCTATGTTTATTACAAGTTTTGAAAAATCATTCCGGGGAAAGTTTGCCTACCATGTTTTCTACTTTTTTATTCCCATGTTGAGGGGGTAGGAAAATAATATTCACATGGAAATGTGGGAATTTATGTTTTAACACACTTGTAACTTCCCTTTTTTTTATTCATTTATTTAAATTATTTACAATGTTAAAAATATTCCAAGGAATATTAGGATGCAACTAAATAAGTTTTCTAAATATATCCGGGAATAACATTCTATTTAAAATATTCTTGGGAACACGATTCCTGGAAATAAACTTGTAATCCGTGAACAAACGCCTCCTTAGAGAAACTTACGGGTAAGAACAATTTGAATTGGGCTGCCACTGTCAAGATTGGTTCCATGGTCAATCTATATGATCATCTTATCAAGGGTGCTCATGAGATTATTACTACACGCATGAAGATTGGATGCAATCAGACAGTCAACTAGTATATCTCTTATTGCAGATAATTGATCCAAAATTGTTGAATCTCTACTGTTGCTACATTACATGTTATGACTCGTGACATGTGAAGGAAAGCTTGAAACGTTTATTCAAACAATATCCAACACCTTTTAATGTTGTCCAAGACCTGACCACTACCCTGATAATTGATCTCCAATTATACATTAAATAGAGCTTAGTCTGTCCTCTATGAACTTCACAAAAACTATGAATTTGTCTGCAATCAAATCCTGACTACTTCTAACATAACCTCAGCAGAGTATCTCCTTGATTGTCTAATTCAATTTCTTTCTTCGGAAACATCAGGAATTAAGGAATCCTCAGCTTTTGTTTCTAATTTTAGTTCAGGACCATAAAAGTCGGATGCATTACAATTTTAGCAAGAATCATGAGTAAACTGACTTGGAGGTAAACATCAGAGATGTAATGCCAAAAGTTTCCAAGTTTATGTGGGAACAATATTGCAAAAAGATGGGAAGATTAATGAAGATGTCATCCACAGGATACAAAGTAGGTGGTTAAAATGGAGAAATGCATTGGAAGTTATTTGTACTACAAAGTACATGCCAAGTTCAAAAGGAAGTTTTTATCGTCATGCTATACAACTAGCTATACTTTATGGTAATGAATGTTGAGCTTTAAAGAGACAAGAAGAGAAAAAAAGTGAGAGTAACAAAAATGATTATGTGAAGATGGATATGTGACCACCAAAATAATTATATACAATGAGGTATTGGTGTAATACCTATCCCAAAAAAAAATGACAGAAAATTGGTTAAGGTGGTTTGGGCATGAGAAAAGGACACTAGAAGCATAGGTAAGGAAGGAGACTGGATTGTATGGATTTTAGCCAAGTGAAAAGGGTAGAGCCATTGAGGGAGACCAAGAAAGAGTATGGAAGAAGTTATAAAAAGGGAGCTCATGGTGAATAATGTCTCCAAGAATTTGGCATTTAACCAAGTCTAATGGCATCATGTGATCCATGTAGCTCTCTTCACTTAATAGGATAAGGCTATTATTGTTGCTGGTGGTCATGGAGGACTTGATCATATCCATGGTGGTGGAAGAGGTCACGATGACGAACATCCTCAATGTACATATTGCCAGTGTTTTGGTCATACCTAGGATTAGTTTTTTATCTGAATGGTCCTAGAAAAAACAATTAATGTGACTCAATCCTCTCTTGCTGAGAAACAACATGAGTCCAAGAATAATAATAAAAATGTGCTGTTTGAAGAAGAATAAAGGAGTTTTTGCAGTTCAAGGCATCACAAGGCTCATCTTTAGCTACAGATTGCTCATACTAATAACTCTAAACTGTTGGTCCATGGATTTCGGACTCTAGTGCTTCTTATCTTGTGGCTAGTAATCCCTTTCATTCTCAAAAGTATATGGAGTAACCACTTGGGTTTGTAGGTTAAGGAGAGTCTTGTGGATATGTATGTCATTTTCACATGGCATTATGACCTTAAGCAATCTTCTCCATCATGGTTTGGGTGCTTTGGTATGGTTATTCAAGAGTCTGGTATGATTCAAAGTAAAGCAACCAGTCCGTGTTCTAAAAATGTTCTTCTAACCGGTGTATTCATTTGGTTGCTTATGTTCATAATATAGTCATTACAAGTGATGGTCATGACGGCACTAAAAGCCTCAAATTTTCTTGAAATTGAGAGATCTGTCAAAGGCAGGCATTGTTAGATCTCTGGTAATTCCGAGATAGGCATGTTGTAAGCCAATTAATGCTCCTATGGATTCAAATGTCAAGCTTCTACCAAATCAGAGAGTCCTATTCTAACCTTGGGAGGTATCAGAGCTTGGTTAGGAAGCTAAATTAATTGAGCATGACAAAGTCAACTATTTCTTCAGTTATAAATTTAGATAGTTTCTTAATTTTCCTTGTGATAGCCATTGAATTGATGTGGTTAGAATTTTGAGATATATTTAGGGATCCTCTTGAAGAGATCTAGTATAGAAAGACAACAGTAATTCTTTGTTGCTTGCAAAGATGTAGATTGGGCAAGTTGTCCAATTGACAGGCAATCTACTTCTTACTACTGTGTTTTTATCGGAGGTAATCTCAGTTTATGGGAGAAAAGAAAGCAAAATATTGTTGCGAGATCTAGTGTAGAGGCAGAGTATTGAGCCAGGCCATCACCACATGAACTCGTATGGTAAAAAGCTTCTTCAGGATATACAATGTAGTAAAGTAGGCCCTATGAGTCTCATTTGTGATTATCAAACAGACTTGTATATTGCCTTTAATCCAATTTTCATGAGCGAGTGAAGCATATAGAGATTGACTATCATTTTATTTTTGAAAAATTACCTCTATCGAGATCAACACATCATTTGTTGGTTCTAATGATTAACTAGCACATAAGGGCCAAAGATATTTGCACATATATAACAAGTTGGATGCATATGACATATACACACTAATTTGTGGAAAAGAGTCGAGATTATGATAAGATTTTATTGTTAAGATTACAATTAGAATATTGAGATTTTATGAGATATATAGACTGAAATTGTGTTAGAATATTTAATTGATTTCATTATAATTATTTCCTTTGTTAGTTGAACATAATTAGGGTAATTTGGTTTTATATCTTGTAGATCTTGCAACATTCTTTCCCTAATTATGGGAAACCTGTTGAACAAATTTTTTTTTCCCCATAAATATGATAAGGCTTAGGAGACTCTCTCCTAAGCAAGTTTTCAGCCAAATATTTGTTTCCCATCTCTGTTTCAAGTAGACAAATGACAAATTATTATAAATGACAAAGACAATAATCAATACGATAGATAAAATGTATAATGGGGAATCTGTTAACAATTTTAATAAAAATGAGAAGTTAATTGTATTTTCCACTCTTATGCCATAACCTTAAGAAACTTAAAAAGGAACGAAAATAGTATATGTATATATGAAGTCATAAGACTGCATCAATAAGAACATATAACTTGCCTGATTGTTGCACAATATTTCAATAGAAGGTCTAATCTTTTGCCAAGGTTTAAACCCAGATCGGAAAGACACATCCCCAACTGCTTGGTGCTGTAATTGTGACCCAGCAAGTCCAGGGGGGAAATTACCATCGGAATTGACACTATCCAAAGGTTTGTCGAGTACCATCTTTTCTATAACATAATTAATAACCTAGATTAAAAAAAACAAAGCTCATTTAATCATTCTGAAATGCATCATCAAACTGAGAAAAACATGCATACAGAATCCATCAAAAATACAACACAATACATTCTTCTGGAAAGTATAATCACTGTCAACTACACAACATATATAAAAAACAATTCTGATATAATTCTGACATGTGATAGAAGCAATAAACCAAAATAACATTGAAATTTGTCATCACAAGAACAGAACTCAGGAAATCCAACCACTATTTTATAAATTACATATGCCGTCCCTGCAATTCACTACAGTCTATAGATAAGGATGTTAAATTACTGTTTTCCCTCCTACAGTCTTCCTCAAACAGAAGATCTAGACAAGAAATGAGACATTTTGAATACAGGACCCAATAATACAGCTTTTCTGTTATGGTCATTAACATACCACCAAAGTTTAATAATCTATTGACCTCAGAATGCATATTTAAAATCTAAAATGACAAACATAAAGTTGTATACTAATGGTCTCATGACTGTTCAGATATCTGTTTCAATGGATTGCAGCCTAGATGCTTAATTCACTAAACATAGAATACATAGTAGAGTAAAATAGTTTCAAGGGGGAGTAATGCACAACAGAATGAGAGTTCAAAAAATAGGTCTGGAGGAAAAAAAATGAAGAGAAAATGACTATTCTCAAAAGAACAATCTGCAGGGGAGTGGTTTTAGAGTGAAGGGTAAATGGAAGAATATAATTGAGGTAAGAGGACATAGTAATCTTAAATTCTACATCAAAATCTGACAACCCTGATAGGTGAAAATGGAAAAACCAAACTTGATATCCAAGAAAGCATTATTTCAAATAAAAAATCATTTAATAAAAAAATTACTAGAAAACTGCAAATTATCAAAAACATTTCAATGACCCAAATTTACCATAATAACCTTATCATAAACTTTTAACCCATCCAGAAAGGCTTATTCACAAATCCTGATATTCTTTTCTCGTAGTCATACTTCATGAAAGAAGGGGAAAGGCAGGGATAAAAACACAATTACAGAATCACCGAAGAATAACAATTTAAATTCCAAATGATAGATTAACAGGAAAAATCTAAAGCACAAGATAATCAAAGCAATTCTCAATAAATAAATATCCCAAATAATTCCACATCATTGAAATTCAACTTACTAATAAATATCTTATTTACAAATTTTACAATAAGTTCCTAATCTATAAAAATGATGTGTCCATATTTCATTTCAATGTTGTCAACAGCAAATGTCATGGCAAAGGTATGAAGGAAAAAGGATTTTCCCACTTAAAATCTCCAGGATGAAACGACTTTAGCAGAATGGAGGCATCTGCAACAGTGAAGATGGTTGATAGAGTAGCAGTTTCTCTCCTCGATTCCTGTTTTAGCCCGTGTCCAGTGGCCATTAATTGTAGAGGTGAACGTGTCTTTTAGTTCTCCGTCAAAATATAGCAATAAATTAAAAGAAAAACACTCCAGAACACCAGTTAGCTCCTGACATGCAAATCTGAAACTTGGTCTCTCAACACAGATCTGTTGAGCTGCCTCCACTGCCCCCCTCCCCAACCAAAAAAAATTACAGACCAGACTGAAATCCATGGTCACATGATTTTCATGTAAGTTCTTTTTCTATTTTTTTCTCATTACTTCTTTGCTGACTTCCAACAGAACTCTAATTCTTCTGTCTCTTTTTTTCTTTTTTCTTCTGAAGATATGGCACATACATCTTTTTCCCCCACTTCACATTCACTCTTCTTGTGTGTGTTTAATATACTATTCTATTATCTTTCAATGACCAACACGCAATTCATGATGCCAATTCTGAGGCATGCCTCATCATGCCATTGACAACACTTTCCTTTCCCATATCTCATTATTCGTATAGTATGCCACATCAATAATGGACAAAATTTAACAAAGAAAAGGAGATGGATTTGTTTAACTGACGAAGATCTATTCAACTACAAAAAAAAATGGATTTCAAAAATATAATACAGCATTCCTACAAGAGAAAAACAATGTCCTTCCTAATTGCAAGTTTTTCACGCATGGAATAGATTATCAACTACCAAAGTACCAAGTTCAAGGCAATGTCTCAAATTTGATGTTAAAAGCATTTCACAGCTTCAAGGGTAAGAAGGAACAGCGCATTGGTATCTTTCTGTGACATTTCCATTTCATATAGAATCGGAGGAAGATTGAGAAAACACATGAAATTATTGTTTGATTTCTTTTCTATTTGTCCCTTACTGAGGAATATTAAAACTTACTTTATGAATTCTTAATATACGTGGAGCACTTAGCTTCCCTTGGGTGAGGATCTGGAGACTAGAACCTTCACATGGATGCAAATAGAAACTGCATCTGCAAAGGTTATCACAAAAGAATCTATATTAAGGAGAACATTATACAACTAACCCAAGAGAAATGATAATTATAAAGATTTCCAGTTAAAAATTGCCAACAAGGTCAGTAACTCAAATCCATAGGTAACATTCCACTTGTGCTCTAAAAGTAGAAAACAAAGTCGATATTTTTACAACCAACCATCAAAAGTGCAAAAAAATATTTAAAGATGCTATGAAAAAAATACATAGGACCAAACAGACGATACCACTGGATAGATAGAAGCAAACTATCATAACTTAAAAAAAATCACAAGTTGAATTGTTTTATAACTAATATGTTAAAGTATTATCATATTTGTTTTTCTAGATGTGTATAAAGTACCATCATATGACTATCCACAGTCTCATTCTGAAACGTTAAATCAGCAACTTTAAAAGAACACGCCTACAATAGGACTTTGAGCACGAAGAAGAAGAGATTCAAAAAAGAATCAGTCAATCATGCTCTAACAATAAATGCTAATTGCCATGATCCATGAACAAGCTTTCATCCTTGCTACTACAAGCATGGGTTCCATGCAACAAGTTAGAAGAATAAGAGTGTACAGGAAGGCAAAACGTTACTTCGTATTTTCTCTAGGAGGTAACCGATTATTCAATACGCAGTCCAAACACCACCAGGGGAAGTCTTTTTCATCCTCAGTTCCATCTAAATCAGTAATTTTTTTTCTCCATGGACCTCCATGGGTTCCCTCAGTAATAATGGAAGGGGGGGAAACAACTGAGAATTCGAATGGAGGATAAACCATTGCATCAATCTCAGAACTTCCATCAACCTCAACTTTTGAATGTGTAAGACTTCTAGCACCAATATCCTTTCCAGATAATAACTCCCCATTAGCAGGGGCTGGAGTTCCTATTCTTTGCTTTCTTTTTCTCAACCAATTAGCCAAGAGCCCTTTCAGTGTTTCTCGAGCCAAGTTAACCTGTAGAGTAACAGGAAGAGTAATAAGCTGCTTCCACATAACTAAAGAAACAAACAAGTAGTTGATAGCAAATTAAATATAAGCATTTGTAGAATGCCGTTTTATGCATAAACCTTCTAAAAGATATTTGTGTTTGACTCCTAATATAATTATATAAATATGTCTTGCTGTATGATGCAAACCAACAGAATTTATCACATATCTCTCATTCTCTCTATTTTCAACAAATAAAAACAAAATGGCTTCCTTTATATTTTATACATTTTTATTTTTATTTTATTTAAATATTTTACAAACTTTTTCCATTGTCAATCTATAGCAATCCATGTTATGTCACATCTCCATTCATTTCTGTTAATTATTAGACACAAAATGTGATGATAAATTTAATTTTAACAATTGGGAAACTATGAGGACTAAATGCTAGTAAGTAAGAACTAAAGGAACTAAATGTGCAATTAAATCATAAAAAGGAAGATTGAATGGTGTTGGCAGTTGTGTAAACTGGATATTTGTTGTTACAGACAATAATAACATGCCAAAGACTAGGAGCAAAATCACTAATGAGAAATTTAAGGTAAGTCGTGCAAATTGCTTTTAAGGATAAATTCGTTTACCTTGTCATCTTCTGGCTTGCCTATAATGTTAAGGTCTGCTGAATACATCTCAGCAGAAAAACATTGAGGAGTGTCCAAATGTACAGATAAACATCCAAGCCTGGTATCTACTGTGAACCATGCAGCTAAAAACTAATTCTCAAATTTAGAAGGAATAATATCTTATTCATCATGAGATACATCAGATATATATATACATGAGTCTGTTGCTTATTTTAGGAAATAAGGACAGCCTATTCTAGGGAACAAATCCCTGTAATTGTGGGATTGTTATTGTAGTAATAATAGCAAGATACAACAGATATACAGAATTAAAATACAGTAGGAATAATATCTAAAACTTCCTAAAATATATTTTGACACTCCCCCTCAAGCTGGTGAATAAGTGTTTGTGCAAATCAAGATCAACTTGCAGACATACTCACCAAGGGACTGAATAGCAGTAACTTTGAAAGAATTATATCCAAGCTGGGAATGGAGAACACTTATTCACCAGCTTGAGGGGGAAGCGTCAAAATATATTTTAGGAAGTTTTAGATATTATTCCTACTGTATTTTAATTCTGTATATCTGCTGTATCTTGCTATTATTACTACAATAACAATCCCACAATTACAGGGATTTGTTCCCTAGAATAGGCTGTTGCTTATTTTAGGAAATATCAAGCATTCTGATTTGGGGGGACTAACAATACTATTGGTCTATGTGGATGATATCCGAGTCTACCATAACCAGCAAAGAAAAAGTTCAGTTGATTCATTGTCACTTGGGACATCCTTCATTTCGGGTTATAAAGTTACTGTTCCCTTCCTTGTTTAAAAATTTAAATCTGGAGAGTTTTCATTGTGAGGTGTGTGAGCTTGCCAAACATAAGCAGGTACCTTTTCCTATTAGCAATAAACTAAGCACTTCTCCATTTTATCTTGTTCAAACGGATGTGTGGGGCCCCTCTAATATCCCTAATATCTCAGGGGCTAAATGGTTTATAACCTTTATAGATGATTGTACAAGGGTAACGTGGCTTTTCCTTCTTAAACACAAATCTGAGGTTAGCTCTGTTTTCCTGCGGTTTGTCTCGATGATTAAAAATCAATTTGGGGTTAATATCAAAAAACTTAGGTCTGATAATGCCAAAGATTACTTCAATCATACCCTAAATTTTTTTTGCCAAAAGGAAGGGATAATTCATGAATCCTCGTGTGTACACACCCCAACAAAATGGGATTGCGGAAAGGAAAAATGGGCACTTGCTAGACCAAACTAGAGCACTCATGTTTCAAAATAATGTTCCAAAAAATTTTTGGGGGGAAGCCGTACTTCCTGCCACTTACTTAATTAATAGATTACCCTCTATAGTTTTATCCTCAAAAAGCCCCATGGAAGTCCTAAAATCATTCTACCCACATATAACCCATACAAATAACCTTTAACCTAGAATATTTGGGTGTGTCTCCTTTGTGCATGTTCACAGTGATGGAAGGGGAAAACTTGACCCAAGAGCAATAAAATGTGTTTTCTTGGGGTACTCAGCCACACAAAAAGGATATAAGTGTTTTCATCCTCCATCCCAAAAATTCTGTGTCAAGGGATGTTACTTTCCATGAGCAAATAAGCTACTTTAGCCAGCCTCATCTTCAGGAGGAGAATTTAAGAGAGGAAGATGAGCCTCTCAACTACCAAATCTATCATTTGGACCAGAAATTGGAAAAAATACTGTTGGACTAGAAATTCAAAAGAATACTACCACTATATGTGAAGCTGAAGCTGAAGAGGAACAAGTAGAGGTGAATCAAATTCCTGCACCTGCAGGATCAGCAGCTGATACAGAAACAACAACTAGACCACATGATGATACAAAATTTGGAAAAAATCTGGTGTATACACGAAGAGGAAAGGCCATTCCAAGATCTTCTCATGTCCAAGAATCCAACCCTATATCATTACACGAGGTAAATCATTTTGATCCTATAAATTCTAATTCTACTAATTGTGATGAATTTCCTTCTGAAAAACCAGCTGCACAGGTGGACCATAACTTGGACCTCCCAATTGCCCTTAGAAAAGGAACCAGAACCTGCACCAAACATCAACCTTACCCCTTGACAAATTATCTATCCTTTGAAAAATTCTCAACTACTCATAAAACCTTTCTCACAAGTTCTTCTGTATCTGAGGCATTAATTGACAAAAATTGGAAACAAGCCATGGAATTGGAGATGGAGGCATTGGAGAAAAACAATACTTGGAAGCTAGTCACCCTACCACCTGGTAAAAAACCTGTTGGGTGCAAGTGGGTTTATACAGTGAAATATCGGGCTGATGGGACGATTGAGAGGTATAAGGCAAGGTTGGTGGCTAAAGGGTTCACTCAAACATATGGAGTGGATTACTTGGAAACTTTTGCACCAGTTGCCAAAATGAACACTGTCAGAGTAATTTTGTCATTGGCAGCAAACCATGATTGGGACTTGCAACAATTTGATGTAAAAAATGCATTCCTACATGGGGATCTTGAAGAAGAAATATACATGGAGGTACCACCAGGGTATACAAGGCAGAGTGAAGCCAACACAGTTTGCAAGCTAAAAAAGGCATTATACGGGTTGAAACAATCACCTAGAGCATGGTTTGGGAGATTCACCAAAGTCATGACAAGCCTTAAATACAAACAGAGCCAAGGGGACCACACTTTATTTATCAAGCATTCTGATTTGGGGGGACTAACAATACTATTGGTCTATGTGGATGATATCATTGTCACTGGGAATGATAAAAAGGAACAACAAAGGTTGAGTCAATGCCTTGCCAAGGAATTTGAAATCAAGACCTTAGGGAAGCTAAAATATTTTTTTGACACTAATATAACTAAATAAGTGTAATTAGAATTAAATTGGTGATGATGAATATCAGTAATCATACCATCTCAAACAGCTCTTCTTTTTTCTCCTCAAATGAAACCTGCATAGTTTATAAGTAAACATGAGCTATTTTGAACTAAAAAAATGAGCCCTATCAGCTACAGTTTAACTATAATCAGTACAACTATGCCCATTGCTTACTATAACAATGCCACACAGATTACCAAATGAAACAGCAATCAATTCTCACCTTTCCATAATCTTCAACTACAACACCTTTTGTAATTTCCCACAACTTCACTGAACCAGAAGTATCCTATATAGAGCCATTTATCAGCTCAGAAGAGGGCAGAAAGACTTACAACAGAATAGATGACTACTGACAATATTAACATTTTTGGCATAATAACATGAACAGAAAACACCGTGATTACCTTTGTCAGGACATGTCTCTTATTATTCAAAACTTCATGTTGTACCATTGCAGGGATGCCAGAAATAGTTAAAGTTGGTTGTTTATATACAGGAACCTATTGATGTTTGTAATTTTGGTAACAAAAGGAAAATTATTAGTGCCCCAAAATAGAGAACCAAAATAACATTTATCACTTCACCAAAAAAAAAAAAAAAAACATTTATCTGTAAATAGAAACTTTTTTGTAAGACAGTTTACATATCCCCAAAAGGAAAGCATTAAAGAAGGATACAAACACATATATGCTTCACCTTTATTTGTATATATGCAACTAGCATAATGTTCCCAGAGTAATACAACACTTGGGCGATAAAATAATAAAATTAGTATATAGAAAATTTGAAAATAAATATAACATAAGAGGTAGATCCTTCTAGTGACACCATTGTTCTCAAAAAGAACAAATTCAAGCTAAAAAAAATGCCTCTTTAAAAAATCTTTTGAGGGTTACAAACACATATGCTTCACCTTTATTTGTACATATGCAATTAGTATAATGTTCCCAGAGCAATACAACACTTAGTAGATAAAATAATAAAATTAGTATGTTAAACTTTTGAAAATAAATATAACATACAGGGGTAGATCCTTCTACTGACACCCTTGCTCTTGAAAAGGACAAATTTCCAGCTAAAAAAGAATTGCCTCTTTGGAAAACCTTTTGAGGGTTGCCTCCTTCAGCAGGCCATCTATGAACTGAAGCGTCCGTTGATGCAACCCATATGTTATCGTCATGCACAGCCAATTGAAGGATAGGATGTTCCCCAGTGCAAAGCAAAACACTCTCTCTTGTTTGCAAGTCTGTCAAGTATAACTGGACAAATAAAAGAATTAGGAATCAGTAATGAGCTTCACAAGTTGAACAAAACAAGGAGACAACACGTAAATTCAAAATCATAATAATTATAAAAATAAAAAAAAAAAAAATCATTTTTAAAGGAGAACTGCACTCACTGAAAAGTCTCTACCACCACTATAAACATGACTAAATGTTGAAGTGCTGGCAAGAGCCCAAATAGAATCTGTGTGAACAGCATAAGAATGCACACAACGTTGCTGACCAAGATCCCAAAGCCTATGAGGAAAGATGGTGAGATTAGTCAACTATATAACAAATAGAAAAGATTATAACAACATACAGATACAATACCTTATCATGGAGTCTGAAGATCCTGATAAACAAAACCTGCAATAATTATGTTAAAAAAATATCTTAGCTTTTGTGGGGGGAAAGAATAACTTAATCTAACCTAACAACTTAAGCAATGAAAAGATGCATTGCTATATGGAATGACAAAAAACCAAGAACATTTCATTTAGTATACTATTACCCATAAATAGAAATCCACCAGGACATTGCCAATGAAAATGATGTGTGTTAGAGATAACCTCCTTTTTCATCCTCCAAAGATATAAGCATCAACAATTCAATCTTCAAAAGATTTTTGTCATCAATTAAGCCCCTCAAAATCTAACGTGTCATTGTTTTGGTACGTACTTCGGTTACCATCCAATAGACTGGCAAAAACATCATATTCCAACAATCCAAGCAGATGATGGACCACATCAGTGTCTGTTTGACAGCCTTCTAATATAGGGTAGCATTGCAAAAGGACCAAAATGATGACACTCTTGATTATTGAGGAACTAAATTAATAGCAAAAATCTTTTGAGGACTAAAGTGATGGTGCTTGTATACAAAAAAATAGGGGTTTACTCTATATATGTTATTTACGTACATAATTATTTGTTTGTTGTAACAATACAAAAAAATGCAATATCATAAAGACCAATGCAGAAAAAGATAGGGGGAGTTTTATGATAATGAAGAATTCTTAAGTCCCAACTCTAGTGCACTTTGGTTCAACTTATAGTGAAGAAATAATCGCTTATTTTTACCACAAAAAAAATTGAGAGCTTTTGAAAAGTAAGGGTTATTTCTCAAAATTTAAACTAAATAAAACATGCCACTAATGTTTGTAAATGGTAACTTTTCCAGAGTAGAAGAAATGCCATTAGTATTTCCTTTTTTTGGGAGTTGAGGGGAGAAGTGGGGTGAAGGAGCAGAAAAAAATTGCACATCCACTCAACAAACCTGCCAGTAGAATCCAGAAGCAAAGCCCTGACGTTATCTGTATGACCTTTAAGCTTTAAAGTCTTTGATCCAGATCTCGGATCCCAAACACGCACAACCTGGAAAGGAAAAAACAAAAACATGAATGAGTAATGCCCAAGGCAGAGATAACACCCCACAATCTGGTTAATGAAATTCAATCTAATATAATACAATATAAAGTAAATGCTTCTTATATTTCATAGGTAACAACAGAAGCCACACAAGTAAGAACATAAGTGTGAACAAGAATGCCACATTTTACCTTTTCTGTACCACCAGAAACAAGAAGTGATCCACCTTCATTCATTGCCAACGCATAAACAGATTCCTTATGCCCTTTTGCAACAATTGGAATGTATCCTTGAGTTTGAGTAGTGTGTACAGATATACTGTTGCTTGAGCTGATGGTACGTAAGCTTGTCGTTGGTAACAAGTTTCCAGAACCATTGATACTATTTGAATTATCATCATCCATCACATCATTGCATTTTACATCTGAAGCTACCGCAGCTTCAATATCCCAAATAAAAACCTCCCCGCCAAGGCCACCAGAGGCAACCATATTGCTCTAAAATTCACGACACTACTAAAGGATCAGAAAATGGACTTGATAAGATTCAAACTTTGAATTCAACCAAACTATCTATCAGATTTAAGCACATAAAAACAAGAAAATGAACCTTTTTCTTGGTGCAATTCATAAGAACCAAGAAAAGTTCATAGTACATTACATTTTTTTCAGCCGCTGCAAGGCAAGTAACATAATCTGAGTGTTGTCGGAGTGTCCTAGTACATGTTCCAGTGGACAAGGCATTCCAAGTCTGGCCTCAAACATACAGTTGCCCAGTTAAACAAAAGCAGGTGTAAAAATTATATCAATACTCACATACCGTTATCATAGGAGAAGAGTGAGGATTAATTACAACAAATAACAACTAAGAATCAACAAACCTTAAGAGTCGTATCTGAAGAACACGAAACAAGAACATTATCACTCACAAGAACAGCATCATTAACCTGCAAAAGTATAAAAGCAATTGATATCTATTTAATTGCAACTTACATTGTAGTGTATGTATCATATATTGTGTAGATATCATGTTTGGTTGGTGTAAAGAGCTCATTATTTCTATTCCTAATTGGAGTAATAACATGTGTATAAGTTGAACAATGATTCTAGGCTCAAGAAAATTGACAGATTGACCAGATCTTAACAAACCAGTAATTAGATTTTCTAGTAACTTAAAATTTGACCAAATTTCAAAGAGGCTATCACAAAGTTGAAGAAAAGAAGGAAAGATATGGAACAACATCCACGAGAAGTTCAAGAATTCAGTGAATATTAAATTGTCTCTGTCAGTATTAAAGCAAAACTCAATTCTGGTTTTAAATTTTGAGTACAAGAGAAATAGATAGATTTTCTGGCTTACTGACCTCTTAACACCAAAAAGAGAAAGACACCAAAAACTATTGAAAAGTACATGTATTATAAGGATGCTTGATGAAGCACTCTAAATAAATAAATAAATTATATCACATTCCAAAGAATGAGACATAATTTTGCACATAGCAGAGTTAACAGCTTTCCCTTGCTGCATCATATGCACTTTGTGACCTGATCATCAAGTTCAGTGTTTAAGCAAGAAAATTCCCACTAAGTTCAGCGTTTAAGCACGAAAATTACATACATAATTAATACAAAATCCAAAGGGTTGAAGAAAAAAGGAAAAGGAGCATTAGATAGATAAGGATTACCCAATCCACATGAGATTCAAAGGTGGCAGAGCATGTTGACACATCATCAGCAAGTGCCCACCGTTTTAGCTTGCCATCACGGCTTCCAGTGAAGAGATAATCAGACCCATCAGATGCTGCAGACTTGAGCACAGATAAACAATTTATGCCTGCGCAATGCTGCAGAAAAGAACCAACTTTTAAGATAATATATCAGATAAACCAACCAATAATATTTTCAAAATTTTAAAGATTTTCCAACTAAAAAGTGCAAGATTGACAGACAAAATAGTATTAATTACATGTGACTTATTGAAGCAACAAGCTAAGTATTAATGAAGCTTATTTTGATTACAAGGTAAATGGTGAGTAAATATTAACAAGGAAGGTGAGAGGAATATGCATTCCATCAAAGCATCTATTGTTCAAAGATATACAAGAACAATATGAATACCACCTTATTAACTTTAAGAATTACAAAATCAACTTGTACAGTTGACAGGTTTATAGGCAAATGTCAAAGAAACAATCCATGGAAATAAAGATGCAAGTTGAAAGAAAAAAAAATGAAACTCAGCCATTTTCCTGGAAAAAAATAATAAAAAATAATGAGTTCACCTTTGTGTCATCAGAATCATTCAAAACATATGTTAGTCTCCTCTCCTTATGAGGGCGAGTTGAATTGTTTGTGTTCCCCGCACTACCAACGCGGTGCATTGCTGAAACTATGACAGTGCTTAAATGATAAATCATTTAGCATAAATAGCATATCAAGGAGTAAATTACAGAAAATGTAAAGGTGTTATACTAATTTAAATGATTTGCATCAACCATACATGAATTTCCAGACATAAAAAAGATAAATACATCTTATATTAATTTGAAAGTGGTTAGTAAGATGCAGAGGTGGTAATCTCAACTAAATAATTTACTATAGTTCACAAGCAAAAGGGGATTGAGATCAAAAAATTGAGCATTCTTTGGAAATGATTTGGTTGGGAGAATTAAGGATCAACTTGTATTCCTAAACTATCAAATCCTAAAACTTATTATTATTCACACACACTGAATTTTCAAATTATGCCTCAGACAAACTCATCAACAAAAAGTTATCAAACATCATAAACAACACAACTTCTGTTTCTGCCAAATGCCAATTGCCAATCTATTTACTAGCTTCAGAATGTATCCCCATTATCAATAGACCAAAGAAAATATATCCCCACATAAAGCTACCAGCATCATTGAACAGTTGACAATGTGTTCATCAATTCTAATAGTTCTTCAAAAAAAAAAAAAAAACAATTTCAATAGTTCAGTGTACTGAAGAACTCTCATATTTCATGGGAACTATGAGTTTCCACAAAAGTGCCAGCTATATCAATGCACTAGGCACAACAAAGGAGTTCTGAGACTAACTAAATCAAGTGCATTTAATTCGTTACAAATACAGCAATAATCTAAATCATATCCATCCAATACCCAGTCACAGAATTTTGTATTGAGCCAAATTGCAAATGTAGTGAGTTTTAGCAGTCTAGTAAATGCACACAAAAAATATACCATAAAAAGCGGCCCAAAGGCCAAACGTCTAAGACCAGTAGAATTGTATAACCAATAATTTCATTGAAACATGATTAATGCAACCCTAAATAAGACCATGGTATAATGTGACAAAAATCATGAAAACAAAAAATCATAATTTGCAGAACTGAGGCCTAAACTACACACCATTAAAACTTTTTCCCACCCGAACTAAGTCCTGTACTTTCCCCCAAAACTGCTCAATTTGTCGACAATGTCTCGTCTTCTCAATATTCTCAACGGTTTATTAAACTCCGCAATTCCACGCTTGTAACCTGTTTTCCTTCTCGCAATCCTACCTCGATATTCTGTGCATTCAGCCGAAGCTCAAACTCATTCGCCAGTCGAAGCATAACTTCGATACCGAATTCACAGAAAACTCAATGCCAATTAAAACCAAAACACACAGTTACATAATCAATCACCTAAAACAAATTGAGCCAGCAGAAGCTAAATTCCCAAATCATTCACGATATAAAGTACACGAACGTAAAAACCAAAGAATAATGATAATAAATGTGAAACCGTCGCGCAAATTAATTAACCCGATCACAAGGCTAAGCATTCCAACGAGGTCTGGACCTAAACTAACTTTCCATAAGATGCACAATTATTTTTTTTACATAATCGATATTAATAAATAATGGAAGAAATCGAAAATGGAAGAGTGGAACGAAGAATGAAGTCCGAACCTCGATCAGCTATGAATGTGCGACACTGTTATGTACTTGTTTGTGTTTTCCACCGCTGAAGCTTCAACAGAGAGAGCTTTTCTCTCCCAAAGAGAGAGTGAAGGGAGAAAGAAGAGAGTGAGGAATGTTGCAAATGTAAATGGGTTTCGATTTTATTGTGGCAGGTTATTTGACTTGGTTCGGGTTTTTCAATCGAGGGCAAAATTGTCTTTTCATTGCAAAGATAAACCTTCACAGCTGGCTTTGAAAGCTTGTTGCCTTATTTACCGCGTTACCGTTTTATGATCAATTTAACACGTTTCATTATTACCTTTTAATTGCAACTTTTTTGCTTAGAATCTGTTAGGAGGGTTTAACAGCTTTCTAGTAGAATATCCTTTTTCATTTTACTTTTTACTTTATTTTTTCTTGAACCTCTTGATTACTATTCTTCTAGATACAACACTAACTATATACATTTCCTCCATCCCAATCTTGTCTAATGTATTAGAGGAGAATAATCCAATTCAAATTTTTATTACTGAACTAATCTATTATCCATTACTACTATTTGCTAATATAAAGAAGGTTTTGTTGTCTAAGCTCATGTCATGTAGTACTTACCTTTCGAGATATTTAAATTTTTGCTTACATCTTTTTCAATTTTCACACATTTTTTAATAAAATAATAATAATATATAATTACATTAGCTTTGGTATATATTATGATAGTTGAGGGATCATCTTATATTAGTGTCACATTGGGTGAAAGTTAATTAAGAAATTGTTCTATAACTCAAGCAGGGGATTATGGGTTTTGTTCATGACCTTTATTTGGCCACAAGGTTTTGGGTTTACTCACAACATTGTTGAGTTGGCTTCTTCAGCAATCATTGACCTTTTTCAGAGAGGTTGTTCAACTAGGCATAAACGTTTCTCCATTGTTAACAAAATTTGTCTTCTTGCATCGACCATTGATGGGTTGGCTAGACAGTTTTAATTTGTCATTGCCTTTTGATGTTTTAACTTTTCTTCTTAACTTTATTGTCTAAACATTTTAGGTAACCAATTCAAGAAGACTTTTTTGCATGGATTATAGTCTAGTTGTAAATTCCTTTTTCTCGTAAAAAAAAAACAACTATATATCAACTCATACTATCAACAATTTTGTATAAAATGTGATTTTCAACTTTTGGATGTTAAATTTAACTGCATATTATTAGGTTTTTTTGTACTAACCATATTAATGACTAATATTTGTCAATAAATCTAACCAATTATTTCCAGTTTGATGTAATTTTTAACCATATTTTTTTTTTCATCATGAGAATTAAATCCAAGGAATTATTTAATGAAATCAATTTCATTACCATTTAGACCAATAACTTTTTTGGTTAAATTATTTGTGTCAAAAATTGAACATAATTAAGGAAAAAAAAAGACTTAGATAATTCTTATTTCCATATATTTCAAAAGTACAAACTACATTAATTTCAATGCACATTAACAAAGTATTAATTAATTTTGAGTTAATTAATTTCAATGCACATTAATAAAGTATTAATTAATTTTGAATTAATTTGAACTTACGCATGCATCATCTACATGACAAAAACTTTCAAATCAGTGAATTTAGATGGTAAAATTATTTATTAAAAACTAACACACCATTATAGTTGCATTGAAAATTGTAACATCAATAACTATAAAAAACTTAACTAGTTTAATTATATTTTTAGTTGTTTATATTTAGAGTAATTATTTTTTTCCTTTAAATTTAAAATTTATTTTTTAATTCTTATAATTTTAAAAATATAATTTTAATTTTTACATATATTTTTTGTCTTTCAAATTTAAAACATGTATTTTAAATCTCTAAAATATAAAAATTATTATTTTAGTCTTTATAAATTTTTTTATTTCTCTTCTACTTCGCCGTAAAATTTCCATGTAATTTTCTCACATTCTTTTAAGTTAATATCTATTGTATTATCCATTTTTTTATTGTTTTTTAAATAAGCTCTTTGTCCCTGTATTTTTTTTTTATATAAACAAAACGAATTTTATGAATATAAACGCTTGCCTGAGCCCAAGATATGCTAACCGCAAGGTAAGCAACAGAAAGGCAAGCATAAAATGCTTAAGAGCATCTCTAATAGGTTGTTTATAAGTAACTTTCTGAGTCACATTACTGTTACATCAGTTCTTTATAAATTGCTTAAATTTTAACTGAGTTAATTATTGCTTAATAATACACCACTAGCATTAATCGGTGGGAGTTAGGAATACTCATGAATACATTGTACTAATGACCTACATGACGTACCACATTTTCAGAGAATTCGTACAATTGTCAACGTACCTATGACCTACACGACGTACAACAATTTAAAATATGACAA